AGGACGCCCCGCCTCCCCCCCCCCCCCCCCCCCCGCTTCTTAGTGCCGTCCTGTCCTGTCCTCAGGCACCCAGCACGGGCTGCTACCCACCGAGAAAGATGGACAGGATCAGGCGGAGCGCCTGCTCCGAGGAGCCCAACGACTCCGCAATCTCCGCCAGGCTGAAGCCTATCCGGAACGTGGTGTCCGCGCCTCCACCAGCAGCAGCAGCAGCAGCAGAGGCGACGCCGGGACCTTCGGTGCCTGCCATCTTCTTCGCCGGCTGCCCAACCGGACGCACTCCGCCACCCCCCTCGCACCCGGCAAAAGGCAGCGGCAGCACAACCGCCGCCACGGCCCCTACATCGAAACCACGCCTTCCTCGGCTTTCGGCTCAGACCGATTGGTCCCGAAGCTCCCAGCTCCCGGCTCCCATTGGCCATCAGGTGGCCAGTGGGTGGAGCAAAGACCGCGACGCTTAACTGAGGCAAAGGTTATCCACGCCCTCTTCTCCCCCCCCTCTACTCACGCAAACACGTGGGGGCGGTGTCAGGCTTGGTGAAAGAAAAGGGGGAGCGACTTCCTATTGGGAAGGAAGGGAGGTGCCTAGAGCGCGAGGCGTATCCCGGCTTCTTATTGGCTTTCCTAAGACAGGAGAGAGCCAGGCAGGGAGGGGGGCGAGAGTAGGAGGCGTCGCTGGGGTTACTATCGGGCACAGAAGGCAAGGAAGGAGTGGGCGTGGCCCTGGCGGAGCCGCGGACCAACGATCTCCCCGACGAGGTCGTAGGACCTGTCAGTATTGCATCAAGGCCACGCCTACTTTATGAATATTAAACACCCAGAATACAGTACACGTAAGGTACTTGACCATCTCGGTGAATGAATCTCTCCTTTTATTGTTCCTTCTGTTCTGGCCACCTGCATTAATACTTGGAAAAAGAGTGGCGTGATGTGATCCAGGCAGCTCCTTAAAATTGCAATGGTGTGCCATTGAAATAGGCATATATGATAGCCCTTTGTCCTCTTTTTTTTTCCTTCGTGGTCCCTTTTAATGATTCAAATGTTTTCATGCTGTTTTCTTAGAAGAACTGGAGAATAAATGTATTCACTCATATATTATTAAAAGCAAGGTCGTCCATTTTGAGTTGCCTATCATTTATCTAGCCAAAAATGCGTTAAGAATCTGTGCAGGCTTTTGAGATGATACAGATGATTCCGAACTATTATTTATTTCAAAATATTTATATCTTTCCATTATTTCTTTCCCACGGTTCTCTAGCAATAGTTGCAATATTGCCAAATGAAATGCTTGAAAATACAGGAATGCAAAGCTTGCTGTTCCTCTCTGAAAAGAGGCAGGACTCCATAAAGACTACACTGTGCCCACTTTTAAACATGTTGAGGGTCTTTGGTATGTCAGGGAGAGAGCGAGAGAGCACAGTTATCTGTCAGGAGGCTAGATAATCCTTGCAGAGTTATCAAAATCAGAATGGTCCAAGCAGAGGCACTGCACTGCACTGAGATGCACCCATCCTCTTCAGGAACCATTGGATGCATCAGCAAAAGAGCATTGATCATGTCAGTAGTCATGGAGGCAGAGAAATCCTTGAAAGGAAACTATAGGGCAGTAGCTGGAGGTGATACTGACAGAGGGCCTTCCATTGGCAGTGGCAGCAGCACTCAGGCTAATGCCTTTTAATACTACGCAGAAAAAGTCAATAGTGAACTACTTCTCGATATTTTATACCTTGAAAACCCTATGATGGGACAGTCCAAAATGAAACAAGGGATTGTGCTGGAAGAGGAGACTCGGGTCAGAAGACACTTCACCAGCTAATGGAAAAGGCACATAATATTTATAAATAACGTGGTTGCTAATGAAGCAAGAGGATTAGAGCCAAAGGGGTGTGCACAAAAGCAAAAAGAGCACCGAAAGTTACATTAAAAGCAAGCTTCAACCCACAAAACAAGAAGTAGAATATGGTCTGATAAGAGGATTACTATTGTTTTAGGCCACTAAAACAAGCAACCACTCCTGCATGAATTGGCCCTATAGGAAGATCTGCTGCCTTCACACTTCTCAGCAAATGATAAACTATCTGGGACATGCACTCAGTATTCCTAAAGTTAATGACTCATGTCAAGAATGGAATTTTTAGCTTCTTACCCTCTCTGTATGCACATTGTACCTTCATTTCACTCCACTCTAACATGTTTTTTTTCTTTAATATTTTTCTTAAGAAATAGTAGCTGAAATAGAGATACAATAAGTCTAAACACAAATTTTATTTTATTTTATTCAAATTATTTATACGCCGTATTTCTCCCCACAGGGGATTGGAGGTGACTCACGGGAGATAAAACAACAGCTTTCAAACACTATATAAATATCCCATTAAAACAAAGAAGCACATTATAATATTGCAAAAGCAATGAAAAATAGAAAAAAGAGGGGAAGCAGAGGAAAAAAACACAGGAGTATGTATACATAGGCTTCTATGGAAATTTTCCAAAGATCATAAAATATCTATCCACTCATAGTAACTGTCTATACACCATATGTTCATACATCAATAATGTTGTAAGGTCTTCTCTGGATTACTGGTGGTGGACATCTATCTTTCGAATGCTGAAAAAGTAATATTTTTTCAGTTGTAAGGGCATGGAGGGTCCATCTACACTGGCCAATGGATTATTTCCAAGAAGCAGGTATATAATTTAAAAATACATAAGCATGAATAAAGACCAAAGATTCATCCAGTACAAAATTAATGTGAGTAATAACTCCTTTCTCAAATGAGCAAATTAGCTCATGACTAGATATGACCATATCATATGACTAAGAAATGCATCAAGAGAATCACAGTGCCAACATTTAGATGATTTGCTTAGCCCTTTCCTAAAACAGATATTGCAGTCTCCAGCACATTTTAAACATTATCTTTTGTTGAACGAGGCATACATTAAGTCTATAGATATTTTCGGTATACTGTCGGGTGTGGTCTTCCATTTGTTAAAATAGCACAATCCATTTCCATGGTCCATTCATCTCTGAACCCTTGTGTATCATATTTATTGACTGACAGTGAGCAGTTATAAAGAAATAGTGTGGGTTTCTTTTCTTGAACTAATGCAGTAAGTGCAGGAGACTCTGAAGGACTTAATGCTTCTGGACCATATTTAGCTATCAAGATGCTGTAATAGATACGTACTATCATATGGCTGAAGCTGGCAGTTCATATTACTTTGCAAGAAGGCAAATGGCAAAAAGTCATCATCCTGTCCAATTAATTGGCCTAAGGTAAGAATTCCTCTGTGTATCCACACCCTTCCTAAAAAGGACTTCTGTCCAATTTTTATATCCAGATTACCACATAAATCTAATTTAGCATGTGAAAATGGGTCAAACTCGAATTGTTGTGATAAATGTATTTATTTATTCATTCATTTAGTATCATTTGTAGGCCACGTTTCTCCCAATGAGAGGATTCAAGACAGCTCACAACATTAAAAGAAGTAGAATCGAAAACACAACCTCTCCCAGAAGTTTAATGTGTACAGTGGACCCTCTACTTATGGAATTAATCCGTACTGGAACGGTGACTGCAGGTCGAAAAGTCTGTAGGTCGAGTCTCCATTGACCTACAATGCATTGAAAACCAATTAATCCGTAACCAGCTGTTTTTGTTCCGTTTTTGTTCCATTTTGGTTTTTTTCTGGTCTGTAGGTCGATTCTCTGGCTCCAAGTCGAACCTAAATTTTGCGGCTAGAGAAGTCTGTAACTCGAAAAGTCCATAAGTCGAGCTGTCTGTAAGTCGAGGGCCCACTGTATTTTAAAAAGCATGTGGGGCAAAAACCGTGGGAGATGCCACAGGCCAATGTCGTATTTAGAACCCCAAACCATCCACTTGGAGAAAGGTTCCAGATATGAGATTTCCAAAACAGCCCAAGATAGATAAGCTGACTCTGGAATACAGTTCCGGTAATTAGTACATCTTAGCAGATATGCCCAATGATATAAACAAAGATCAGGAAAACCACCTTCTGCAAACATACATTCCTAAAACAGAGTATTAATTTTACGGAAGTATCTGCCAAGTAAATGAAAAGGAGTTGCTCAAAGAACATACATAATGTGAAGTATAATATTCATTTTGAGGGTATTTATCCTGCTCCAAAGCTGCAAGTTCAAAGATGTGCATCTATTTAAATGCAAGAAGTCAATTCAGTTGGATTTAATGAATCTGTATTCTAAGATAGGCCATAACATCTGGGCGCCACCAGAAATGCTAATCAGAAAAAAAAAAACACACTCTGTGTTGGGTTGTCTCCGAATAACTCAGATTTTTTTTTAAAAAAAAAATATTTTATAGGTTAGGTGTAAGGATAGGGGACAGGGGACATGGGATTGAACAGGGGTTGTAAATCAACATGAACATTTTACAATATTAATTCTTATATATGACATTTCAAAGATACATATGTTTCCGGTGTAAATAATTTATAATGCAGAATATATTTCTAAATTGATTTTAGTTTTTCAATTATCAAATATTAATTTGCATTCTGTTTCTAAGCCAGTCATAACATTTATGCCAACAATCTTCATGACTCGTCCTTCTTGTTGAATATAACCATTCTGAGTTAATAGCAAAAATCCTGGATATGGCGGAAATGGATAAACTACTAATAACTTAGATTTTGTCTCGTTAATTGCATAACCAAATACAGGGGTCCCAAACCCCTGGTTCACAGCCCGGTGCCAGTCCATGGCCATGGCAGGACCGGGCTGCGGAGACAGATCTCCTGCCCCCCCACGCACTCCACCTGCATGCACACCCCACCCACCCACACATGCACACAAGTGTGTCCTACCCATCCGTGAGGGTGGGGGGTCCCCCCACCAGTCTGCGGTGCAGTAAAGGTTGGGGACCACTGATGAAACAACATTTCTAAGCATATTAATTCCTTTTATAATTCTGGAATGGATGACTGAGCTTCAGAAATAAACAAATATTTCTGCATAAAGGAGTAGTTTTAAATTCATGAGAATTATGAACAAGGCCATGAATATCAGGATTTTGTCTAATGGCACAGGCAAATGGTTACAAATACATACTGTACTGAATAGAAGAGGTGAAAGAGGGCAGCCACTAGTTAATATTCTGTATCTTGGAAATGAGTAAAAGACCTGAATCCATTTCAAAAATTCAGGAGGAAGACCAAATTTAGGAGGTACCGGAAACATAAACTGTATGGATGTTTTGTCAAAGATGCTTTTTCTGCACCTTCAAATAACAGCAGCCTATCCAGCCTGTCCCAGGAGAGTGGAAATCAAATGGCAAAGATTTAAATCAAGGAATTACAAACCAG